CTCCCGCAACCAATGTTCATGCCCTTGACGGGAATCGAACCTGGGACCCTTCAGTCCGCAGACTGATGCTCTACCACTGAGCCAAACCGGCTTTGGCATAGGTGGACATTTTTTTCCTGTCTTTTGCCAGAGGCTGATCCATATAAAAGCATGCATTGTTGGTTTCTGTAGTTAGTGGTTCTCTCCATTGTAATGGTGTGGGCCAAGCATTTAAGATACAAATCAACTAAGAACTTAATCAGTGTCTTGGCAATTCACATTGTCCATTCTCTGAGCATCTATGCTCATTGTTTCTGTGGTGATTCATCTGTGTGGAGCGTGAGACTTCAGTTGCTTTAATGATGCATTTTACATGAATGGGACTGTAGCTGGAGGTATAAATCCCTGTTGCTTTAATGGAAACAAAATCTGTAATGCAGCTATCAATTAGTAGGTTTTTATTTTAACCTCCTGTGCTCTTCAGGGGAAAAAAAGAAAAGATCTTCTTGAGGGAATGTGGAGTTTAGGTCTCATTAAATTCAAGTGATAGTAAATTTTCTTTCTCATGGGTGCTTCCCAGTATAGGGCCTTTTACATAGTGGGACATAGCAGATGCTGAGTCCCTTCGCCTGCCTAAATGAATAGAAAGAAACCTCTGCCTCTGGATTAGGTGGGTCCTGGAGAGTTGTGGGTTTGATAGAACCAACAGAATTTGAGAAAGGAAGTGCTACATTCTTTTTGGTCGGGAGATATTACTGACCACACATTATGGCTACATGTAAGCATCATTTGTTGGGACTCAGTGGTGTCACCCTTTATTTTGCAGGTGTGAGAATCACTGCTCTCTCCTTGTGGAAGTTGGAAAGGAAACTGTAGGTAGCAGTTATATGATTAAGCCTCTGACTGACCTGCTGGCAAAGTTGCAAACAAGTCCCAGTGTAGAAGACACAGTCCTTTAAGCATAAAGCTTGATCTTGTGACTGCTCCCTAGATCTTTCCTAAGTAGCTAATGGGCTGTGGGAGGGGCAGCAAGTGCTGCCAAAACAAGTGAAACTTATAAGAACATTGTAAATTACCTTGTTTGTCCCTGACTATAAATAAGCATCAGCTTTGCAGTCTGGATCTGGTCCGTGGCCTCAGCAAGGCACAGAAGATCCACCTAGACCCAGCTTATTATCTTGTCTGTCTTGATTCTTCATCCTTCACCGGCCTCCCTCAGGCTCGCCGAATCCTTGGCTGTGCTGGTACCAAGGAAACTTTGCCTCTCTGTTTCAGAGGCTGCTAGTCTCTGCTTGCTGCATGCTGCTGACCTATTGGCCATTTCTTCAACCTCTCAAGGACTTCAAAATCTACTGTGGTCTGTGTTAAACTGTAGATTCCATAGCTCTGATATGGAATGTCTGAGGCAGGGTCTCATGAACTGAGAAATACTGAGCCCAAACTTTGCTGTGCAAGGGACTGTCATTAGACTAAGAAAAAGAATAATCTGCAGCTGGGAATAAAGAGTTGGCAACAAGTAGCAATGAAAAGCATGCTTCTTGTTACTGCCATGCATTGGTTCTGGGTGCCATATCTGGGTGCCAAGCATGCTAAATAATGTTCATTTTTTCAATGCCTGCTAGGTGCCGATCCTCATGCTGTGTGCTGGGAATACAAAAATGAGTAAGAAATATCTCTTGACCAGAAAATTTTATAGTCTCTGTGTATGGGGAAACACAAATATAAATCAACTAGTTTATATGGTGCAATTAATGTAGCATAAACCCTGAAGGGTCATGGAATAAAAATACTTGCTGTCATTTATTGAGCACTTACTTTGGGCTGGTCTTTGTCTTATATCAATTAAGTAAATTCATCGCAACAACCCAAAAAGGCCAGTAAGTAAAGACGTTGAGGCTGTTAAAATACTTTGCACAGGGCTGCCAAACTAATAAACAGCACAGGAAGATTGGAGTTGCCAAAGGCTATATTCTTAAGAACTGTAGTATAAAGTCTTTCTAGAGAGAAGAATCCTGTTATTTGTTGAACACATACTAGATGGGGAGCTCACTTAATTAAAGATTCATGATATTTCCAAAGGAAGCCAGAGCTCTGAAAAGAAAGACACAGTAAGCACAAATAGGCCAGGCACACTTGTCTGGGATGCCACTGTTATATCTTCGTTAGAGTGTGAATGGACAGACGTATGCTGAGCTGTTGGCTCCTTTAGCCTTCCTGGTGGCTGGGCAGGGCCTTGTCACGCCCAGCTCTGGCTCCTTCCTTAGTTTACCCCCATGCACTTACAAATACAGGGAACAGACTGTCCTGGTTTCTATTTCCTTGCCTTTCATAAGCCATTGATGCTGTATGAATGGTAGATATTTCAGCCTAAGGTGCTTGGGCATTGCATTTTTCATTTCCATTCTCTGATCACTTTTGAATGTGAACTAGGTTCTCTGGATAAAACCAACTAGGTTGGTGCTGGGAGAAGCACCCATATCTTTAGTTCCTCCCCATCCATTTGCCATTCCACTGATTCACTTGGCACAAATTTTAGCCATTGGAGTTTTAGTTGAAAACACCCTTCTTATTTCCTCTACTACAAATGGTCATATCTGTGTTCCAAGAATCATGGGTGTTCTAACATTAGCCATGTGCCATGGGTGGTACCTGGTGCATGGACTTAAAGATGGGCTGCAGTGACAAGTCCTTAATCAATGTACATTTCCATTGCTTTGTTTTATAATTCACTATTTTAGGCCAATTATATTAAAGAAAAATAAATACTTCTTTTTCTTTTACTTGGTTCATCAAAAACAGGAAGACAAAAGGTATGAATACTCTTCCTGTTAATCAATAGAGAAACCTCTCTCATCTGCACCAGGCATATGCAGCCCACGGCCTCTAGACTACTGACTGTAGGAGTGGAAGGTTGCCATCTGAACCCTGGGGTATTAAACAGGCAGGCATAGTAGGTGGGACAACTGTGCCTATTGAATTAAAGAGCTAAACCTGGGGAGATATTAAATAGAGTCACAGATTGTGAGCTGGAGTGGCAGTAGGTGGAGGCCAGGGCAGGGACTGGCAGTTTCATTACACGGGTGTAATAAATAAGGCGGCAGACAAGTGCTGACTAGCAGATGATGCACTTTAGTAGCAGTCAAACTGGAATGATGGTCCTGGGCCTGCTGGGAGCTGGGAGCTAACGAGATGGGTGTCTGGGGGTGGAAAGTTGGGGGATGGGGCTTGGAGGACACATCATTCATTTCAACACCTTGTGCTAGATCAAACACACACACACACACACACACACACACACACACACACTATTGTTGCATGACTCATTAGGTTTCACTGATTCAGTCCAGCACTGAGTCACAGAGTACTAATTTCTGATTAGTGACACATATTTCAATATTAATAGTGAGTCACAATTAACAAGAAGGAACTGATATGGTTTCAAGTCATACCACAATGTCACTGGGGTTGAAAGACAGTTTTTTTTCTGGTTGTTAAGGTGGCTGTTTGCCAGAGAGGAGCCATTAAGTACATTGTTGTCCAAACAGGCTGGTTTGTGTGCCTTTATAGCATCCCTCTGCTTCGTCCCTGTGCAGAGGTAGAATAAGTGAAATCATGTGCAGAGAATGTTTGAAGGTCTGGAAATAAAAGTCCCTCTCTATATAGGAGCTACTCTGCCTCTATCCCCTGTCCAAAATAAGTTGTATTTTCTGCGGCTTTTGGTGGGTTCCAAGAAAATATGACAACATCCGGGCCTAAACTTGTTTAATAGCCCTCACCCCTCACCAGCTTCTCCTTGGAACTTATGCTCAGACAAGGCTTTGAGCTTCCTTGGGATCACATACATATTTTTTTTTTCCATCTCCATGCAGGGCTTGCTCTCTTCAAAATCACTAGTTCCTCTGAGCATCACCAACTCTGATGCTCTGAGTCAGTGGTCTGAGGTGAACTATGAGGGCCATTCCTTCTTTGTTGATATCATTGGCCCTGTTCATCTCTTCATTCTTTCATTGAGATTATATTGTGTGCCTACAATATGCCATGTACTGTCCCATGAGTTGGGGAGACAGAAATAAAAGTGTATGAACCCTGAATCCTGAGTTGCTTCAAAGCCAGTGGAAGAGAAGTACACATAATCCAACCAGTCTATGCAACAGATTCAGGTGTTAAATGGTAACTGTGACCAGAGGTGGGACATCATGCCCAAGAGACACCTAGATAAATAAGTAGATTATTTCATTCACTACCAGATGTAATGGTTACACTGAGCTAAATATCTTGTTATGTAACGTTGAGTCATTTATCCAGATTCCTCACTCTGGAGCCACACAGAGAAAATTACACTCCTCTTCCATAATAATGGAACTTTGGGTAGGTGAGGATGACTGGATTCTCTTCCAAGGCTAATAGTTTCATGCCATTGGGTCTACACCTGTCTCTATTTTAATTGCTCCCTTCTGAATATAGTTTAATTTCTCAAGGTCTTTATTGAAGTGGGAAAGCCAGAATTTAATCCAATAGTCTAGGTTTAGCTGAGAGAAAAGTCCTAGAGATAAATAGATGAGGAACAGTGAAAATAACAAAATAAAAAGGAGCCTTGCACAGCATGTATACATGAATACACGTTGTGTGTTCCTGTGTCTAATGAATGGGTAGAGAGAGAGAGAATATGTTTTATTTTTATATAATGAAAAGTCAGTTTAAAGACTCTTTAATATATTATGAGTTTTACTCTCTTAGATTTTAACATATATTTGTGTTCCCTGATGTGTTAATACTAAAATCTAAGTAAGAAAACTTGATGAAACTGTCACTACATCTCTGGGCAGGCACTATGGCTGGCAGCTCCTGAAGTCACTCTTGACCTCTATTTGACCATTCTCCATCAGTCATTGCCTCAGTATCCTGGGTGATTCTCCATTTCTAAGTAACTTCCTAATGTAGTAATATTAGGTCTAGTAATAATTAATGTCGTTTTCTAATACTTTTTTTAAATCGAATTTATTTAAACAATACAACAAAATTTAATCAACAATATAGTTGCTGTTGTTTTCTACTACTTGTGCCCAACGCTCAGGAAGCATTTTAATCCCTCTGTTGTAAAATTCTTGTGATTTTGATGCAAAAAATTCGGTCAATGCATTTTTGAGGCATTCTTCATTATTAAATTTTTTTCCAAGAAGAAAGTTTTGCAAAGAATGAAACAAATGGTAATCGGAAGGGGCAATATCAGGAGAATATGCAGGTTGAGGGAGAACTTCCCATTCCAACTGGCGCAGTTTTTCAGCAGTGATTCTTGCAGTATGCGGTCGTGCGTTATCGTGGTGAAGAATTACGCCCTTCCGATTAATCAGCGCAGGTTCTTTTTCTCTTAAAGCTTGGGCTAACCTTTCCAATTGGGCACTATACACTGCACTTGTAATGGTTTGGTTAGATGGTAAAAGTTCATAATGAAGAATTCCTTTAAAATTCCACCAAACACACAACATCACTTTTTTCGCATGCAAGTCAGGTTTTGGCGTGGGCTGCGGAGCCTCATTTTTGTCCAACCATTGAGGCCGCCTTTTCAAATTAACATACAGCACCCATTTTTCATCTCCGGTAACAATTTGCTCTAAAAACGGCAAATGGTTTTGACGAGAGAGGAGCGAACTGCAAATTGTGACTCTTTGATTACGATTGTTGTCGGTCAACTCATGAGGAACCCATTTTCTGAACTTTTGGACTTTGCCAAGTGCACGCAATTGATTGGAAATTGTTTTTTGTGAACAATTTAAAGTTGTTGCAAGCTCTTGTTGGGTAATTTGAGGATTTTGCACCAAAAGAGCTTGAAGAGCTTCTTGATCAAAATTGGACACACGGCCTCGACCACTCTTGTCATCTAACGAAAAATTTCCCTCGCGAAATTTCTCAAACCAACGTTGGCATTTTCTGGCGCTAACTGCATCTTGACCAAGAGCACTACAGATGTTTTTTGCAGCCTCACTTGCTTTTCTTCCTAATTGGAACTTGTAAAGCATGCAGTGCCGAATATGCTCTTCATCCGCCATCTTCTTAGCCCTAGTTTTGCAACAAAAACCAAACCAAACACAGACTTTTTCAAGCAAAACTTGTTAATTGCACTTCACATGTTCTGTAGATACCACGTGTTTGAAGTTTATGTCAATACAAGTCAACGCCAAGCAAGATTTTAAACGAATGTTTAAAAACGACATTAATTATTACTAGACCCGATATATGTGGCTTTCTTTCTTTATCAAACCATAGCCAAATCTAGTTCTGATGCAGATAGCTACTGAGAAGAATGGCAAAGACAAATCCAGGGCTATTCTGCTCACATTCTCAGTGAATAATGTACAACCTGAGGAATTCACCTCTTCACTATTCTGAGGAATGCACAACCTGTGCAATCACACATTGCACTTGGATGCAGATAGCCTGTGATGTCATATCTGCCTCTCAAACACAACCCAAGAATCCTGTTTCTAATCCTGAGAGTGTCAGAATTTACTTGTCATAGGTATAGTAGATTGGTACTTGACATCTATTCCAACTATATATCTTCCAGAATCCCTTGCAGCTAGAGTTATGGCAGCAAAATAGGATTCCCCAATTAGATGCACTCGTGCCAGATTTGAAAAGGGGAAATATGACAAAAAGATTATTGCAGCTTTGACCACTATTTTTGGCAAGCAAAGTCTTAAAGATGCTGTATTTTTTATAGAGCAAGATTTCATTGATTAGTCAGTCTCATGTGAGTAGAGAGGCAATTGTTAACAGCTTGCTGATATTTTCCAGATCCCTAGTTCTGGGGTTGTGTTCTGGAACTCAGGTGTTCCTGTGGAAGCCTGTTTGGGGTAGAGGGCAGTTTTCTTCATGGTCAGGTCATCTCTGCAGTACCAGAATTCATTCTTGGACAGCTAAATAACAGCCTATCCTTCCAAACCGTTTAATAATTTTATAAACACTAAATTTCCTGTATTAAATTCCTTTTGATTTAAAATAAAGTGCTGTCTGTTTCCTGAAACTGAATCATGATGGGTATATTTATCAAAGGTCGTGGCTGAAAGGTGATTTCAACTCTTTTACCTTAATGAGTGTCTTGTGATTGCTATTAAATAGCAGTATTTTAGAACTTAAGTTTTAGTCCTGTGCATGTTGCTTATATACCTAAGACTGTGACCTTGAACAAGTCACTCAGCTCTTGATCCTTTTTCTTATCCATGAGATTAGGTGATATCTGTTTTACATATGTGAGCATAAGTGGGGAGAATGAATGTGAAAATGGGCTCCAAGTAGTAAAGCATGGCTGCTGTTTTCTCCTGTCTAATGTATTCCCCAGTGAAACCCAATCACTTTCTCCCCAACCTCCTCTCCCCCCCACAAAGTATCAGTTAGAAAATGTATATTTATCACAAAGGAGAAATTATATTAAATTTCCTGCCTCCAATATTATTTAGAATTTCTTGTGACAATTTTCAAACCAAATTTTTTGAAACTGGAGAATTGACATTTATGTAATAATTAGTGGCCTACTGCACGAATTCATGCACATTGAAAGGAAATTAATTAGAAGAAATATTTTAATATCACTATTTGTCCTTTCTTTATAATAGAAGTGTAAACTAAATTCATTTGAGAATGACAGATGGAAACACACACATGGGATTGGCACCAGCAAGAGTTTTCTATGTATCGTGCATGCTCGAGTCAATTTTAGTCTTTTATAGATATAGAACAAATTTGCTTAATTAGACCTGCTTTTTGATTTAGCTAAACCTTTTCCAGCCCATTGAAGCACCCCAACTTCTCTTTCAGGTAATTTTCAGCAACATAGCAGTAAATATCAATATGAAGCAGATTATTATTGTAGATCATGCAGGGAGAATACAGGGTAAAATATTTAACTGCAGCAGTGTTTGACTGCTCAGTAAGAAAACCTGAAGTCATTTTCAAGGTCCATTATTTCTTACTTCTTTTCAGTCAGGTCAGGTTTCTAAGCTTTCTAAATCTCTGTTTTCTGGCTAATGAAAAGAAAATAGGATTCCACTGAGTCTCCTATATACCTATTCCAGGACTTCTGTGAGAATCAAATAAGATGAGGAATGGGAAAATGCTTCACAGACATTTGGTTATAGGGTAAAGCAGCAGTAGCCAGCGGGTGATCCACAGACCACTGGCGGTCCATGAGGTCTGAAAGGTGTGCAACCACTGGGGTAAAACATTTCCACCTGTATTACTGGAACTCCAAGGAGGCTAGTCACTAGGAAGAAGATGAGCATTGCTGTGAGACATCATTATCCGGAGGGAGAAAAGGACACTTAGCATATTAGCCTTTTATAGATATAGATTTCTTAATGAATAAGTGAAAAGTTGGTGAACTGAAGGAACCTCTCAAAGTAAAAAAAAACTATTAAAGTAGACATTAGTATTACCTACCATGTGGACTCAATGACTTAAAAAAAGACCTATGGAAAGGATGAAAGTTTATAAAGTCAAATAATACCATGCTGACAGCAGACTATTCATTCTTTATTCCAATATCTATTGAATATCTGTGATGTTGAAGGCATTCTGCTGGACATTAGGCTCTTTCTAGATGTCAAAAAAAGTACATTGGGGAAGATTTTACTGTGTGTAAATTGTATATCAGTTAACTTGACTAAATAAAAAAATAAGACATCAAAATAAACCTAATGAATACTAATTTTCTATTCCCAACAAAGCCTGTTTATTATCTATAACAGTCTCTTTGCACAGCACACTATAATTCACTCCTCTTTACAGATAATTGCTCTTTGCCACACCCATGCCTGCCTTTATTCCACTGTTCCTTCTCATAGGAATTCCTATAGATTTCTGCCTATCAAATGGCCAGCTCTTATAGGGCCCTGGTCAAAAGCCCCTACTCTCAAGGAGGCTTCTCATTCTTTAAGTCTAAGTTAATCCCACTCTCTGCTGTCCTAGTCATTCATCCTAGTCTAGGATGCTTCAATTTACTGTCTCAGGTTTTCTGTGCTAATTATTTAATTAGCTTTTAGTTATTTAAATACATATGTATAGTTAATTGAATCTGGCACAGTTTAGTATTGATAGTGAATAGTTTACTAAATTTATTCTAGTAACGTTTTACTGTATTGAATAGTTGAAAAAAATAGCGATAAAATAGATATCAGTAAGGCCTAAATGAGAACCAATACTGTCTTCATTTTTCCTATTATTTCATTTTCGTTTTCTAACTTCTGCCTGTCTACCTTCACCACATGAACAAGAGTACACCCATCTTATTAGAAGCAGATTATATATATATATATATATATATATATATATATATATATATATATAGCTAATATGCAGTGTCCCCATGGGAGTTCAATCAGGAGATCAAGAGTTTGATCGCTCACTATGATGTGCACTGACCACCAGGGGATGGTGCAGAATGAAAGAAGGCCCTGGCTGGTAGCTGGCAGCCAGGGAAGGGAGGCCCTGGCTGGCAGTTAGAAGGCCCCTATTGGCCTTGATCGCCATCCAGACCTAGGGATCATACCTGTGCATGAATTTTGTATACTGGGCCTCTAATATATTATAGTAGTCAAGAAATATTAGAACAATAGGAAATAATACTACCTTTTTAGCCTTAGGTCTATAATGCAAGATACATGAAATTTAAATATACAATGCCAGTTATTAATACATAAAATTTGTATAATTTATTCAGATCATGATTTAGTCTAAATAAGTGAAGTGCATGGGTATATTTTTGTAAGCATTATAGAATTACTATTCTGGGGTGTGCATATATCCCTTCAAATTCAGAATGAAGGTGATGGGTTGCAATTGCTTGCCTGAAGAAGTAAAATCTAAGGAGTCATTAAAAAATATTCATGTTATTAATGAAAATATCATACATACAGTTGCATAGTTTTTATATGTATTATCCCAATAGACACTCCCTTCACAGCAACAGTGTGTAGGGCACAAGTCTGTACATGAAGAAATGGATTTAATATAATAATGGTCTCTTTGACCTCTTTGAACAAACCAAACTCTGTGGTAAATGATTTAGAAAAATATGCCTACCTGAAAAATTTATTAGCTGCCATTTTGTTTCAAGATGTTAGGCTGCACCACTAATGAACTTAATACCCATTAGCAATTTACTGCTTAGGGTCAGAATCAGCCAATGTTACCCTGTAGCAGATAGAAAAGCAAAATAATATTCTTTAAAATGAGGGCTTTGTTCATATGGGTTACAATATTGCTATGAATATGATCTTGAAGTGTTTATTAAGATCAAGTAGGATGTTCATTTGTTTAAGTAAGAAAATATCACTGTGACACACAGACAAAAATATAGACTGACATAGTTCTCATTCTTGATGAGCCTACAAGCTAATGGGGGAATGAATACAAAAGCAAAATCAATTCATAAGAATGTCTATAGCAGTGTGGAGGTGAGAACAACGGTTTGTCTAAAGAGATGGGGAAGGCTTGTTAGTGATATTGGAAGAAACAGAAGCTACTTTTGGTCAATGGAAAGGGAGAAAATTATTTCAGGCAGAGGAAATACTATAAGCAAAAGCAAAGAGACATGAAGAGTAGCGATAATTTGTTAATGAGCAGTGACTCATCAAATATGTGCCCAAATTCAAATTAAGATGGAGGAGATTACACATGAAAATAAGGAGAATTTCTAAATGTTATCTCGGAGAATACACTCTAAAGCACTGTGTCTCAGAATCTCACTAAAATGTAGATTCTGATTAAGAAGACTTGGGGTGGGGCCTGAGGTTCTCTCTTTCTAACATGCTCCCAGGTGATGCTGATGCTGCTGGTCTGAAGAGCACTCTGTGAATATGAATAGCAAATGGGAGAAGGGCAGGTGATAAGTCTAGCACCCAGTTTGAAACTAGATGTGTGTGTACCACGTGCTAGATTGCTAAAGTTGATGCTATTAGGCAATGGGCAGCAATCAATGGTTTTAAACAGAATGGTGACAAGATTATTTGTGTTTAGTTACAGTGTGAATACAGTGTGAAGAATGGCTATG